CTACCTGTGATATAGAAACTGGAGAGCCCAATATACCCCTTCTTCAGGCCACTGTGAAATGAAAAGGCATCGCATGACGGCTACATCCAGGAGTGTAGCAGCAGGGCTGGACTCTACTGCAGCTGCCCTACTGGCCATAGATTCTTTGTCCATGGAACTTTGACGTCTCCTTAAAATAATATGAAATAAGAAAACGTTTCAGAAACCATTAGTATTATTATACTAGCTATTAAAGGATATAATTCAGACAGCTAAAATGATAATATATAAAAAAAGGTGTATTTGGCAAAATAAAATAGCATTGTATAAATAACTAAAATGTACACAGCCATGTTAAATATAAGATCATATGCTTGAAAAATCACAATTCATTAAAATAAAAAAATTTGAAACTAATAATTTTTTTTTTAAATTCAATCAAAGAATTAAAGTTAAACGAATGAGATTAAGAGTCATGCGAAAGAAGAGACATGTCTAGTCGAGTTATCAGATCTGTTGTAGCAGACATCCCCTTCTATTTACTCCTTTATGTGACATTGTGTGAGGGAATGAGAAGTAATATATAATATATAGGAATGTGAGGTTGCACTGTGAATTGTACAGTAGACAAATTGTTCATTGAAAAGTCTCATATCGATAAACAATCAATAAAGAAGGAAAAAGGTCTGGTCAGGTAGCAGCAGCTGGAGAATGTCACTAGGGAGAGAAGAAGGCACTTGAAGCTGAGACATGGAGGTGAGAGGACTTAAGGCTGGGACAGGAAGAAACAAGGTTGTCAGAAGAGAGAGGCAGGACATTGAAGACTAAGAATATCAGGCCTACAATTATAAGACTTTAATATATTCATTTATTATCAGTTGTTAAAATAAATTGTTTTGTTAGACAGGAGTGAATAGTCCTTTTATTTAGTTGTCCTATAGGCCTCACAATTGAAGCATAATAAACAAGGTGAGTCAATTAATTCAAAGTGTATCTACTCAGTCCCACATTATATATATATATATATATATATATATATATATATATGTTCTTATTGTTTCTTGTCACGCAGTGCCACAAAAGGTATTAGATTCCCGAATTCCCAACAACAGTTAAACACCCTCAAAAAAGTCTATATACAGTGCCTTTATCTATATTCTTGCCTTTTTGTTTTAATATTCACGAGTGTAAATAACCTAGTCCCCCGATATAAAAGCGGAAGGCTATTCGCAATTTCTGCCAAAACAAATTATTTACAATTAACCTTTAAACATGTTATTTACACTGTAGACAACTAATTTTTAGGAGTGAACTGAGGAATATATTTGCAATCTGAATCATAATCAACATTGACAAATTTTCAGAAAATGCAAAAAATTGAATTTTTTCATTTCAATCTTGATGTCTAAACCAAGTTTAATAAATTAAAGAAACACTTTATTAATATTAATTTAAAAACCACTGATATTTTAAACAGGCTGCTATTATAACTAAACTTACAAGCTAGTTTTAGAACTAATAAAGTTGATATAATTTTGGTTCAGAAAGAAAAACACTGGGTTCTGAAAAAAAAATCATATTAAGCTAATAAGTTGAGCTTTCTTACCATTTTTCTTGTGAACATAACATATATGTATTTGTATATACAATTTGCTAAGGTTGTAATTTTATTTAAAAACTGAATAGAATAATTCAATAAAAACAGATCTGATAAATCGTGTTAAGTTTAAAACTTATAAAACCTCCTAAGCATTGTCATGTCACAGGCGTGCTGCCTTCCTCATTCCTCATTCCTCATTTCACATTAATTTTATTATCAAATGGAAATTGAAACTAGTTCATTTAAATATTATTCCCCAAATTTCCTTTACCTTTAGGCCAAATTGAATGAGCCATTTTGAAATATAGGCTTATCAAGGAAAATATGTTTGGGAATCCATAAGTGAAAGCAGGATAATGAATTTAATAAAACTGATACTGGATCATTTTTCACTAATACCTAACGTTCCTCCAGCCTTGAACCTAATTGAACGAACCAGTTTTGATATATAGATATATTATATGTTTAGGTATCCACAAAAGGAAGTTGAAAATGAAATTTGAAGAAATTGATATGGTACCATAATTTGAACAATCTCTGAAAATTTCATCAAAATCGGATTAACAGAAGGAGATGACATGCACGTTACATGGATTTGACTTGAGTCAAGCAGTTAAGACAGACACAAAATGAAATCTGTTCCTCAGTTTAGGCCCAACTTTTTATGTTAATGTATGATACAAATTGGCAAATAGCGTTCAAATGATTACAGAGTTTTAATGTTTCAAATACTGTTGCCTAGTAGTGGTTGATCTCAGCCTTCCTGCATGAACTCATAGCAGTCAGTTTCATCCTGATAAAGTTTCTAACCAAAATGATCTCCATTTAACAGAAGCCCAATCTTCCAAGTTTCCCTCAGAAATCTCACAGTATTTGGTAGTAATAAAATCTATTCGTCACATAATAATTATAAATTTTAACAAAGATTCTTAAACATAAAAAGAGAAAATATTTCTTGTTATATTGTAAATATTTGTTATTCTTATATTACTTTAATACTGTAACATGAAAATAATAAAGTTATTTTCTAACCACTTTTTTATTATTTAGGTTAATTTATGAAAAATCTGGTGTGTCCACTCACACGACTTTCCTACCTATTTCAGAAAAGTTTTTATATCTTTACATATGTCCATTAATAAACAAAAAGAAAAAAATTGAATTACATTAACTTTCTTGAAAATATATGTGAAGGACATAGTGAAGCTTGTGTGATGCGGGCAACAGATTTTCTTACTTTCACTTAGTAATCTTTTTTCCCTCTCATTCACCCCTATCTGACACCAGGATATGAACCCATAATCTTACATTGGAAATTGAATAGCTGTAACTTTGTTAATAGTTGTCCAAAATGAACGATTTTTATGTAGTTTTGTAGGGAATCTCTATTACTTTAAAAAAAAAAAAAGGGCTAAACAGTGTTTTTCCGGAATCAGGGGGCTCTGAAATGTTTAGATCTGTCCAAAACTGCATATTGGAATTTTGAAGCAATCGCAATACCTACTCATAATACCTATACCTAGTGTAGGTAGGAAAGTAAAAAACAAAACAGCACAGTTAGATGCCTTGGATAATTATACAGAAATAGATACTACCAAAAAAATATATATATATTAGGGTTCACTTCAGAAATAAGCGACCTTATTTATTAAAAAAGGTACCCATAGCATTTGTAGTAAAAACTTTAACTCATCATGATCATATTTAAATAACGATTATCTTTTTAACATAATTACCTTACAGTTAATCACTTACATATACTTATTATTTTATTCATGTGGTTTTTAGCTAGCTTACATACCCTCCTGTTGAATGTTTCATATGGCAGTCCAAGGGTGTATCAGATGGGCTTTTTGAGAATCTAGGAGGAGCTTGAAAAATGGTAGCATCTGGAGCCTGTAACAAAATAATCCATAAAAAAATCAATTAAAACATAGTTTTTCTGAAATTACTCCATAATATCAGAAAGATTAATAAACTATTTTAACTGAAAACCGCTATTTAATTTAGTAATACCTGTAGAAGATGGCACACTTGTTCTTTACAAGAAATAATAAAAATAAAAATTTGTCCACGATATCCTGCACACTACATTGTCATAGATGATCCACTTATTGTCACCTGTCACTATTTGTTTGAGAAATGGATCCATTTCATGCTGCTTAAGAAGAGAGTTGCAGATTGGTATTCAGTTGGCCAGATTTGCCTCAGTCGGTTTGTGTAGCACCCAAAATATCGAGGTGGGACACGTAGCCAGTCTGTTTTAAATGCCTTAGAACGGTCCCAAAGCCTATTTTCAGTGTCTCGTACCTGCAGCAACTGATCTTGTTCTATTAGAGCCTTGATATCACTCGAATAAACCTCCGGGGTCGACCATTGTGCGATGCATCTTCGAGACTCATATCTCCAGAATTAAACTTGGCAAACCATTTTTGAACAATATATTCTGCTAACCCTTTGACTGTGGATGGGATACATGCCTTTCCATTAAGAGTTGGATGGGATGGGATATATGCCTTCCCGATAGTGAGTTGGGTCACTGGTATGGCCGGGATATATACCTTCCCCCCTGGGCTGTCGCCACTTAAATAGGTAGGGGCAAGTCCCGCCTACACCATTTGTGGCTTGATTGGTGCATTCCTTAGTCCCCTGTAGCTAACTCAGTGCAGTTATTTACTATTTGAAAGCTATCACTTGCAGATTTATTCTGAACCCAAAGTATCTCCTTTCTCTGTTATTTGTGTCACATCAATGATCTTATTTATATTCTGTTTAAATGTTTATAAGTTAATTTTATATTGTTTTCTTTTTTTTTTTAATTTGTTATGCCTGAATGTCGATTTTGGTACAAGTGAATCTCCGTCTACTAAACAAATAAATGTAAGTTTCCTACACTACATATATATAAATTGATTTTATTTTATCTTAATGTTTGCATATTATTATATAAATCACTGTAGATATTATTACATTTTGTATTAAGCTAGTTTTCTATTAGATAGCCTATTGTTTATAAATTGTGTAGTTATGTATATATAAATATGTAATTTCTTTTCTTTTTTTTTCATCACAACAATAAGTAATTTTGAGAAGATTTTATGTTCATTTATATATATATATTTTTTGGTAGTTACATACTTTTTAAATAATGTATATAATATTAGAACTTTTATAAGTTAGTTTTTGGCCAGATTTGTATTAATTCATCATTGTTATTCTAAGGGGACTTAATCCCAGAATAAAGTTTAATTTTCTATTCTATTCTATTCTATATAAATATATATATATATATATATATATATATATATATATATATATATATATATATATATATATTTGTGTATGTGTATATTGTAATATACACCTTTATTGGAAGTGAGTAAAAAGGGTTTAATAAATTAATGTTGAACAATTAAAAGGCAAGCTAATCTAGTTTCACTAGTTCAGGGAAAAGAGAATGGCTGCTCTGTAGTTTCCCCAAAAAGGTAAATCCCAAAGAAGAGAGGGACAAAGGTTTTTGTTAAGTCAAGCAGTTGTTGTGTGGCTCCAGTGAAGAGAGGACAGGAGAAGGGATCCTGGCCTCAGTGGGTAAAACCCAGTAATAGTATTACCATCTTGAAAGTTGTTGTTTGGTAGAGAGACTAGTTGTTTGGAATTACAAGAGAGAGGATCTCCCAGGAAGCTTGAGTTGAGTTGAAGATAGTGTCACCAGTTTGGAAGTTGTGTTTGGCAGAACATTGGAAAGCATTTGAAGACAAATGAATTTAGTGCAACAAAGGAAGAAACAATGTACATAGAAAATAGGTTAGCTTGCCGATTCATACTTGACTTTATTTTAAAATCAGTGTTTAATTTTAGTATAAATAATGTAAATGATAATAGTTTGAATGTTTTGATCTGATTGTCAGTAACCCACACCTGAGATAAATAAATATATTAATATTCTTATAATTTTGTTTTTTATTTAATAACCTCCTATTTATTTAGGAAGTATCCCAACAGTATAAAGCGATCTTCCACGAGGTTTATTACTAGCTTAAAATATAAGAGACATGTTACATTTTGGCGCTCAACTATGCATGTCCGTATTCTTTAAAAATTATATATATATAATTAATTAAAATGTAATAATAAAAATTAAAAATGTAAAAATATGCAGAATTAAAATGATGCTTTAGTTATTTTATCATTGTTCCATACATATACAGTTATTTTTGTGATCATTTTCAGTTATTTTGCTCCACATATATTTTGCTCTGTCAGATGTCCACAGTAATTCTGATAGGGCCTGCACAAAGTCAAGCAATTGAATCATGGTGGAATAGAATTGAGCTGCCAGGAGCCGAATGGCCTAATAGCCAAAGGCAGAGGCGTTATAATAAATAAAAATAAAAAAATGTTATTTTGCTTTTCAGAAATGAGCAAATACGCAAGGAATCAAAGTGTTGCGGGATTGCTGATCTAATTTTTGTGCCGCCAGGAAGGCACATATCCTGTTTTTATGTTAATGTTATATTTTATCTTATGTTATAAATGTTAAAATGCACTTTTAAAAGCTAAGATCTAGCAGGATGACTATTTAAAATATCATTTTAAATAAATTTATTCAGGATGCAACTATGGTAGATACTTGCGAATAAGCTCCATCAGTCAAAGGATTAAGGTCTTTCGGTGAGCCTCAGAAGCTCGCTTACCTTTTTTGAAAGAGAAAAGCAAAATATGATGAAAATGTACTTTATCATTTGGCATATTAATTATGCTGTAGCACAAACAACACTAATGCCAATGAAACCAAACTTAACACTTTCGAAGAGCGGACTTTGACCTTTCCGATATGTATCATTATTGTCAGATAAGACAAAGATGAGTGGAGATATTTAAAAACAATTCGCACTACTAACAAAAACGTAATGTACTTCTGGATTCACCTAATACTTTTCTTGATTATAACACGCAATAAACAAAAATAATACACTTATTCAAATACATCATTTAATATTTTATACATTGAAAGTAATCTTTTAAGTAAAACATTTATTCACATCTCACCGTGTAAATTGAAGATTCTTTTAACCCTTCAGAATCAGCTAGTGAAGGTAAACGAAAAATAACCTGTAAGAACAAGAACTTGTTCAGAAAAAAATTGTATGCATTAGTAAATATAGTGAAATATTTGTTTGATAATCAATCGTAAAAGTTTGATACAATAACTTAAATAAAGTCAATATTATTGACTTTTGTATCAAAATTAAATAAAGTAGCACAACATATCAATAACAATAGTTTTTAGTTAGGCCAATTACATAAAAATATACTAACTACATGTTCTTCTTCTGTACTTGAACTCTCTTCAGGAATTGTTTCTGGGAAAACTGTATCTTTTGGAGAAGAGACCCATCCCTACAGATCACAGCATATAAAAATAGTAAATTAAGGAATAATTAAGTCTTAAACTACATTATTTCTTTAATATGATTAATCTAGGTGTTAATAATTTTTTTCAATTTTTGATTTTTTTAGCACAACTTTCAATAAGCATTAAAGTTTTTAAAATCTTAAGGAAACAGTTTAAACTCTGAACTTATTGATCTGTGGGCCATGCTTAATAATACTAATAAAAATATTGATACTTAGATATTTTAAAAAAATCAATATTACCATTATATTTTATTAAAAAAACATGGATGTTTTTTCTATATTTTCTGTATAAAAGTAATTACAATTTTTTTCATTACTGAATTTAAAAATTAAAACATCAACATGTTTTTAGCTTATGCAGCAATCATATTTTTTTAATTCATATTTTTCCATAACTTTTGTTAGATACTCACCAAATAGAAGTAAAAACCTCTTATTTTTTTTGTTAATAAACATTACATTTTTATCAAATATTTTTCAAACCAAAATTAAGGGGATTTTTTTCTATAAATTTGTATGAACTTGTTCTTATTGAGGTAATATATTTAATTAATTTGTGTTTAAAAATTCAATATAATTGTCGCAATTCTCTCATGGAAAAATTGAAGATCCATATTGAGAATAAAGTTGTATCACAATGTGAACATAAACTGATTGCCAAAAGATTAAAGAAGAATTGAGAAACAGGATTAGGTGTGGAAAAATGTAAATTTTATAAAGTAATCACAATGAATTTATTAGACCAGATTAGAGGAGCTCATAGGTCAGATTTGGTCCACAGGTCTTAGTTAGGAGACCACTTGTGTTAAACCTTACAATTTAAAATTATACTTCACCTTTATAACTGGTAGTGTTATATATAATAAATGAGACAACTCAATAATTTATAGAACAATAAATGATGTGTGTACCTCATCATCAGCCTTATTAGCACTGGTCTGTTGGTCAAAAAATCCGATGCTGGCAGTCTGACTTGGAGGACTCTCAGCACCAGCGTATTGTTGCGGCTCAGAACTCGGTGTTTTACCTTGTACATTAAACATTATTTAATTCAAATGCTTAGAATATTTTGGAGGTAAAATGTCTGCATAAGATACTAAATAACATATCTGTTTTAATTATTTTAGTTATATTTACTAAAATTTAATTGTTTGTAACATTATGTTTTAGGTGACAGTAATGATTGACTAAATTTAAAGAACTGTGATTTTAATAACATTAACTTTGATAATATTATAGATTTACATTGAGAACACTCAATGAATAAAATGTTCTGGGATAGTTCAGGCATGGGCTGTAACTATATAAAGAAGTTCCATTGACAGTTTAGTTCAGTTAAGATCAATTAATCTGTTTTCCATATTTAATTTGATTTCTTTCGTTCAAATTTAGCTCTTTGCAAAGAAAGTTTTTCAGAGAAAGTTAGTTATGAATATTTCTTAGTGTAATGATTTTATTGTATGCAATCATTTTGTCAAAAATTATTTCACTATAAATATTTGTGTAAGCCAGATCTTCAATAAGAGTTGTAATTAAAAATACTAATAACATTGTGAATTATTTATAACAATAATTAATAAATTGTTTAATTTATTGTTGTTGGTATTTATCAAAATCAACTGAAAACAAGTTTGGTTACTTAAATAGTTGAGGAACTGGAAAACCTAAACTGATTCCACACATTCCTTGATTTACACAATTAATTCGTTCCCTAAAAGCACCATGAAGGAAAATTGCATAAATTTTAAGCTTGCCTATACCTGTTTAAAGAGTTTAGTTCTTTTTTTTTTTAAGAAATAATTTTTTTATTTTTTAATTATCAAAAATTTATTATGTGTTCAAGAAATAATAAATAATAAACATTGACCCAATTCAAAAAGTTAATTGAAAAAAACAAGATCTTATGTATGTAATCAAAAATAGATAACTACTTATTACAGAAATATTCAATATTACCAGGGCTAGAAGGCAATCATGCGGAGATGATTCGCTATGGTGGCGAGGGACTTATAAAGGAACTCAACAACCTTATCCTTACAATATGGGAAGAAGAAAGGATGCCCTAAACTTGGAGACAAGGAATTATTTGTCCGCTTCATAAGAAGGGCGACCAAACGAAGTGCGACAACTATAGGGGTATTGTCCTCCTTTCGAGTGCCTACAAGGTGATGTCAAACATTCTTTTCAATAGACTCACACCCAATGCTGAAAGAGAGATAGGAAACTACATGGCTGGATTCAGAAGGAGTAGGTGAACCACGAACAAGATCTTCTCCCTGAGAATAATTTTGGAAAAAGCCAAGGAATATAGGATGGTTATGAATCACCTCTTTCTGGATTTCAAGTCTGCATACGATAGCGTAACTGACCTGAGCTCTCTACCAGGCGCTAGAAGAAATGAGCACACCCAGGAAGCTGATTCGTCTGGTGAGAGTGACCATTTTGGGGTCGAACAGCGTGGTTCGTATCGGATCTGACCTCTCTGAACCTATTGCCACAAACATCGGTGTGAGACAGGGAGATGCCCTTGCATGCCTTCTCTTTAATTTGGTGGTGGAGCGAGCAGTACACAGATCAAGGATCCAAACACGGGCCACCTTATTCAACAGTACGATCCAGTTGCTGGGGTATGCAGATGACTTTGACATAGCTGCCAGATCTGAGCGTGCCCTAAAAGAAGCATTCCTGGCTCTAGAACAAGAAAACAAAATTCTTGGCTTAGTCATTAACGAAGCCAAGACAAAGTATTTAAGAATAGGACCATCAGAGGTAGGGACAGGTTTTTTCGAAGTTGGACAATGTAGATTTGAGAGGGTGCAAAGTTTGGTATACCTGGGCTCAGAAATAAACACTCAAAATGACATATCTCAGGAGATCAACCGAAGAATTGCCGTAGCCAATCGAAGCTATTTTGGGCTAGCAAAATACTTCAAAAGCAGACACCTCTCCAACAAGACCAAGATCGGCCTATATAAGATCCTGATTCGTCCGGTACTTACGTATGGGTCAGAGACCTGGGCCTTCACTAAAGCCGGTGAGAACCTCCTTCTGGTGTTTGAATGGAAGATATTGAGAAGATATAAATCAGATGACAATAAGATAAATATCTTTCATAATTGCCTCCATATACATGAAAAATAAAATACTAACGCCCAAGAAAAATTCCAGCAGTTGTAGCACCTGAAATCTTTCCTGATGAAGGCCACGAGAGAGGCTTTGGTTTGGCAAGTGCTGTAAAGCATCCAGCATCAGGATGTCGATACTCCCACATCGGTTCCCAGACCTTGATTCCATTTTCCAGGCGAAATGTTTGCAGATCTCCTTCCTTTACCTGGTGACACAGGGGGGCAAGCAGGTAGATGAACAACTGAAAAAGAAATTATTTCAGTAAAAAAATTATTATTAATTTTAGGAATAAAAAGGTAACATAAAATTTTAAAATATATCTGAAATATTTAAATCCCTATATTTCAACTTGTGCCATGAATCCCCTAAAACAGTCCCCACCCGGAGACCCGAACGGGGGACTAGTTTACTTCCGGATAATGAGCGTTATCCGTAGTAATGAGCGTAATGAGCGTTGAAGATATCTATCGGAAAATTAAAATCTTATAAAGCAGCGGGAACCGACAATATTACTACTGAACTAATTAAGGCATGCGGGGAAGCTGGAGTTTCTAAAATACATCGGTTGGTTAAAAAGATCGGGGTGAATGAGAAATTACCTGAAGAATGGAAAGAATCTATTCTTATTCCGATTCACAAAAAGGGTCCGAGGACTGATTGTAATAACTATCGAGGAATTTCACTCCTTCCGGTATGTTATAAAATATTTACTTTAATCTTAACCAGTCGAATCACAAAATACGCCGAGGAAATTATCGGAGACTAGCAATGTTGATTTAGACGGAATCGTTCGACTATTGATCAAATATTTTCTTTACAGCAAATATTAGAGAAAAAATTTGAGTACAACGGTATTGTTCACCAGCTGTTTATAGATTTTAAAAAGGCTTACGATTCTATTGACCGCCAGAAAATAATAATATTCTAATCGAGCAGGGGATTCCTAAAAAATTAGTAAATCTAGTCAGGACGTGCTTGACGGAGACACTCAATAAAGTTAGAATCGGTAATAATCTGTCCGAAAAATTTGAGGTTTAAAACAGGGGGATTCCCTTTCGCCTGTCCTGTTCAATTTGGCATTATAACATGCCATTAGGGAGGTAATGCGTACCGAGAAAGGGTTGGATCTGGGTGGGACAACATCCGTGCTGGGCTATGCGTACTGTTAAGCGAAGACCTTGAAACTATAAAATTAAATACGACAACGTTAATGAAAGCCGGTGAAGAACTAGGACTTGAAATAAACGTGGATAAAACAAAATATATGGTTAGCTGCAAAAATGGCAATACTACTGGTGATATCGATATAGGTGGTAATATGTTTGAACAGGTAGATAAGTTTAGGTATCTAGGTTCTACGATAACTAGAAAAAACGAAATTGAAGAATAAATTAAGGTTAGACTGAAGGCAGGAAATGCTTGTTATTTTTCTGTGACAAAACTACTTAGTTCGCGCCTCTTGTCCCGAAACTTAAAAATTAGAATCTATAAAACAATTATCTTGCCTACAGTTCTTTATGGGTGCGAAACTTGGCCGCTTACATTAAGGGATGAGCAGCCTCTTAAGGTTTTTGAAAATAAAGTATTGCGTAGAATATTCGGACCGAAGAAGGATGAGTTAACCGGAGAGTTCAGACGGTTACACAACGCCGAATTGCGTGAACTGTATCCGAGTAATATAATTGACATAATTTCATCGGGACGAATCAAATGGGCTTGTAAAGTTGTTGGACTTAGTAACGAGAGAATTCCTAAAAGGTTAATATTTGCTGTGCCGAATGGTAAGCATCCGAGGGGTAGACCGAAGCGAAGGTGGGAAGATTGCATTAAAGCCGATCTGAAGGGACTGGGTTTGGACGGCGAACGATTGAGGGAGGTGTGCAATAAGCGATTGGTGGTGTCGGCATCGAACAAATGTTCTTTTTGTTCTTTGCCTGGTTAGAAGAACATCAATGGTGGAGATGTTCAATGAACTTCGTCTACCCCTAAATGTATGGTTACTAAGGTGGATGGCCATGAATGTTGTTTTAACAACACATTGACCCGCTTTATTACTCTTATATCGTGCCAAATTGTATGTCGGGTGTTTAGGTCGCCGACAACCCAGTGATTTCTTTATTTAGAGCATTCCAATAGTAGTTTTTTGAACTCCAGATTTTGATGCGTTGTTCTCGTATCTGTGCTAACTACAATACTGGGTTTGACCAGAGCAAGAAGACTTTCAACTTCTCCAATTTTGTTGTAAAGACCATCAGCATTGAAATTTAGAATCTTTAAATTGCTTATCATTTTTTATGTATGAGGTTCATGACAGTTTGCATTAATTGATTTATTTCATTCAAAAATTCAACATCATATCAGTAAATTTTTCCATCCATGGAGGTGGTACTTGATTTTTTCTAGTTAATGTGTTCGCATAGGTTCTTTGATTCTGAAGAGCATTTTTTGGAACATGGGGAGTCTCTTGTGGGACTGCCATAGTACCTGATTGTGTCCTGTTTATATTTAGGTTCTAGGTGTAACCTTTTCTGACACAGTCTATATGATGCTACGTGGGGTCCATTACAGTTGCTGCAGGTAGGACTTTCTAGTCTTGGACACTGAGTGATTTCATGTGGACCTGAGCAACGAACGCAAACAAATCTTTTGCCACAGTGATTTTTTGTGTGCCCAAATTTTTGGCACCGTAAATATGATGATTTACGATTTCGTTTATCCATTTTTATTTCAAGGACTCTTCTGAGATCTTCAATTGTGGTTTCTGTTGTTGTGGTGAGGATTGGAAATATATCCTTTTTTGATCCATCTGGCGAAGATTTTTTTAGGTGTCGCATATCCAAAATACCATTCACTTCCCTAAAAGCATGTTGGATATATTGTATATTCTTGGTCAAATCAATGTTTAGTAGTAGATATTTGTTTGTAGTGTGAACGCATCCTTTTGGAGCAAAAGTGAGAAAAGCAAAATTAGTATTTTTAAACAATGCTACGATTTTTGTATGTTCCGATAGACTCTCTGTGCAAATCCTGATACCATCAGAACATCTTAGGTACATATTATTTATTGAATTTTTAGCAAACTCTTAAAGTGTTTCACTGGGTGAATACTCGCTGCTAATGACTATGGGTGGAGGTCTACGAACAGACACTTGAGAACTGTTAGCGGAGTTATTATTACTGCTACTTGGGCTATCAGTGGCCATTTTACCATTTTCTATATTTAAAAGTTCAAATTTATTTGAGACATAAATTTCCACTCTCATTTCTAAACAAGGATCTGTTCTCTTTGCAACTTTTTTAGGACTGAAGAAACCTCCTCCTACTTTGCTACTTCTCCGTTTACCGGTTTCTTCATTCACACACAGAGGACTCTGTGATTGCATCTGGTCCTCTTTCACCAAACCTGCTACAGTGCCAAGACAGGGTCAGTGTCCGAAAAACCAAGAGTGTTTTATCACCACCACGAAATATCTTTAGGAGCAATACAAATGCTATTTATTTCATGCGTAGATCAAGCAATAGCAATTTACAATATAATTATTATTATCAATTACAGTCATGTAAGTACTTTTTTCCCTTATATAGGGGATACGATTATTATTTTTATCAGGTTTGTATAAATTATTAAGAAATAGTAAATGTGTTAAAAATTAGGTATAGATACATATATACCTGGTGGGATGGGCGACTGGAATAGCTCAGCGAACTAACAGATGGGCAAAACATGCATTGCCTGGCAATCTGATAAACCAAAGATATGGATTCAAATCTGATATTAATCGCCCACCCATATGGGCGGGGTGGCCGAACGGGCTAACGTGTGTGTACAGCACCGCTGTTGCCCGGCAACCTGATCTATGAAACAATGGATTTAAAATAGTCACGAGTTCGCGTCCCGGTGCTGGGGGAGTCCCCGCCCACATCCTCTGACCCAGGAAAACTCCGTATAGCCTTAAAGGCAAGGAAGGGGAGGACCCAAAAAAAAAAAAAGAAATTCTGTATGCCTGGGATCTGAATGAAAATCCCTATTTCCCTATTTTCAATATGAGGCTCTCCTTTGGGCTGAGATGATAAATTCTCTGTTCACTACCGCCAACCCGGTCCCAGTCTTCAGATGTATATATAATGGGCCATCGAATCGCTGCTGTTGATGAATCTTTTATTATTCGATCCTCATCCCTATGGAACTCCATCCCTCTCTAAGTCCATCGCTCCAATACTCTCCCTAATTTTAAATCCCACCTAATCAATCACTTACTTTTCATCCAGTCCTTATAAAATTGTCAATAGAAATTTCTGTAAATATGTATATGTATTATTAATTTATTTTCATTTCATATTTATTTCATTTTTTTTTCTTAATCGGTTTAAGTTAGAAGATAACTTTTTTTCTTCTATTATATCTTCTAGTTTACTTTGTAAATTAATTTATATATATCTGAGGCTCAAAAACCCACATTTCTGTCCTTGTTAATTATTCTAAAGAGATTAATCCCAGAATAAATTAAAGTTTATCATTATTATACTTATTATTTACATCCCTGGTGACTGATCAACAGAAAAGGCAGACTGAATGCATTCGTAGTTAAAAAGGGCTATTGTGTAACTCTAGATCAATCACAATACATGCCAGAAATAGTTAAAAAAAAAAGAAAGTATTCTAGTCATAATTAAGTTTCATTTTCTGATATCCAAAAGATCAAAGCCATCATAAACCGTGATGATAACATCAAATAATATGAAAATTATTTATTAAAGTTATTTCTCTGTTTTTATTACATCAAGTTGAAGTGGCTCTATCCACCCTATCGTCATCAGTACTTCCTAGCTACCTTTCTGTACCAGGTCATTAGAACTCATCGATTCTCCCATATTTTTCACAGCTTACAATTTAAATACTTCATTCAATCCTGTCCCACTAGACTCTATTCTTCTACTCACCGAACTGCAGCATTTGACAATCAGTTTCCTCTTTAAACACCTACTCCTTTCTCAATCCAGCAGAATACAAAATATACCTAAGAGAACTATTTAAGTACCCTCAGAGACTATTTATGTTATTTTAGTTTCCTTATATATATGTAAGCTTTTCTTTTCTTTTTAGCTCTGTTTCTTCTATATTTTTACTTTTAATTAACTATTATTGTAAATATTTAATTTACTTATGACCATAAGTCTGTGTGCATTCTGTACTTATAATTTGTTCTAAAAGGCAACAGTCCCAGAATAATAAAATATATTCTCTTTTCATTTCATTTCAAAAAAACATCAATGGAACAGACGTACATATCATTATGATTAAATAGTGTAATATGAAACAAAAATAGATTTATTAACTTTATAGCATAAATAAAAAAAACTAACTGTAATAGAAGGGATTGAGAAGAGATAATAGAATGGTGATGTGTGATATATTCCATTTTCATAGTCTGCTTCAGCACACTCTTCGGCAGCATCCAAAATTATCCAATGCAATATGTAAAGTAGCTTACTTTCAGCAGCTCCCAAATTTTGTAAGTTAGTATCCTTCCTAGAAATCAAATTTAAAAACTTGAAAAGACAATAATAGGCAAATTAGATAGAAAATCTATAAAACTTCAGTTATCAAACAATTATATAAATGATACAATATCATATCAACATTCAATATATAAATTTCTAATAGAAAATAATTATCGAATAGATCTTAGGACAGAAACAGTTCAACTATGGAGTAATATTCTATATAATGACTAGTAGGTCTCCTCTGAAAACAAATCCTTTAAAAATTACAATGAAAAATTTTAAAAAGTCATAATAGAAGCATTCTTTTCAACTGATAAATTATCAAAAATATGAAGAACTGATTTTGATATTTTATTAGTTATTTATTTTTCCTAATTCCATTAAATCCTAATTTATATATATATATATATATATATTTTTTGTTTTAAACTTTGACACTGAAATTGGATTAAAGAAATGTGACACATGCAGTATATTTATTATATAAAGCATGCAAGCATAATAATAATGGGAAGAGAAGTAAATAATGGTAATTACGGTACATAAAGTCAGAATGAAGCAATGTGATAGAAAAATAAGAAAGAAGAAATCTCTTCTCTTTATACAGTAATGACTTCTATATAGCATGATCACCAATATATACACACTGTTACATAAATTTTCATTTTAGTTAATATCTTTGTTATGGTATTTGATGAAGCTTACTTTACTGACCTAAAGCTGGTGAAATATGAATAAAACAATATTATAATTTTTAACTGTACAACTAGGCGGATCCCTGATTGAAATTATTCTGGATTTGTACATTACAATCACCGTCATTCGAAATATTTTAATGGCCATGTTTCAAATAATTATATCACTTTATCTATTATTCTCTCGAAATAGTAAATAAGGATTTTAAGTGAGTTGTCAATTACCTTACAGTCACATTTTTTAGAATATTGAATGTCCCAATTCTTCGAAGGATATAGGAGATTTCTCACTAACTACCATGTCTTAGAGGTCTCTTATCATAAACTGCATCATTTTGAGGAAATAAGGGTCAAACTACAGAGGGAAATGGACTCAAAAGCATCACAGAGGCTAATTTTCTTCAGCAAAGACAGAAAGAATAACTTCATATACGATGAAGCTTTCATATGTAGAGATAAAAGAAAAAAAGTGGAGATAAATCATTTCGATAAATATCGTTCAATGAAAAGAGAAAGCCTCAGGAATAACGAATTAAAAATGAGAAATTATGATAAGAAGCGGTAGAAGTGGCATGTGCTACTTTTTACAAATTAAAAATTGCTGAAAAGCAGGGGAGGGTGATAATAAATAAAAACTACATTTAAAAGATTCCCTGAGATTTTATGCAATTAATTTATCACAAAAAAATAAAACAAACTTTATTATCACCTAAAATATTCAAATATTTCTTAACAAATAAAAATGTAAAAAGAGTACAAAAAAAAAAAGTACAAATACTGGTAAAAAGAAAATTAGATATGCATAATAAAAGATTAATGAGTATAACTAAACCTGTTATGGAGTAATGAAGCTGTGCAGTGCAAAATGTGAGGGAATGCTGCCTGTATCAACCTCCAGCGAGGGATAGAGTTGATGGCTTCTGTGAGGCTGGGAGATAGGCCAAATTGAAGATTTTGAACCAGAACTTTTTCAAATGCCTTAAATAAAAAAAAAAGGAGAAATGAATTACTTACGATTCAGATCAATGAAAAAAATAGTAAAATAGTTAGCTTTAATATTAAATCACACTGCTTAGAAATGAGGTCATTTGACATAGGTTTTTAATAATATAAAGAGATGTCATTGTTATTTTTAAAAGTAATAAAATTAGCAATCGACTATTCAGACAAACATGAAATACAATACATACCTTGCAAGCTTCTTTAAGTTCCTGCCCGTCACATTATATAGAAAGAACCAAATAGAGCATTAATAAATATGAAATAACATGAGCTTAAAAAATGTAAGTAAAATAATTTTACTTTTACAATCTTAATTAATTATAAAATGTATAACTAATTATTTTGTAAAAAACTGTTTTCAACTTAACCATTGTAATCAATCAAACAATTATAATCAGAGCCAGCCTTAGGGTGGAGCAATTACCCCAGGGCGTCAACCTGGAGGAGCGAGTGCACATTGGCCCATATTAGAAATTAAAAAAATATATATGAAACGTATGAAAATAATTAATTTTGCATATCAACAAAGCAACTTTATTAGAAAAATATTGAATGTAATAAAATTAAAATATTACATAATATTTAACAGCTTAAGAAATAAAATTAATTATTTTAGGGAGTGGAGAGATGATACCATTGCCATGCGGCACTGAATGTCTAAGACCAGCATTGATTATAATATTGGCTTTAATAGATAAATGGAATTTGATAAAGTAATAAACAAGAGCCAAAATGATTAACATAATATAGAAACCTTTTAAATGTTATCTCTAATTAATAATGATTAAAGATAAAACCTTCTTATATGGAGGTGATTACATCTCTTCATAAATAGTTGCAAATATATGTAAAAGTGAATTGATGTATAATAAATATAAACTTGAGGAAACAAACATTCATGAAATATGTATTACGTAGTTTCATATCACAAAATATACAGTCCTTCCTTATTTTTAGTACAAGAGGAAACAAATAATAAAATAAAATAAAAAAAGGAAATTTATATTTGTAAGCAACAGGATTGAAGCCTTAAACACAGCCAAAAAGGGAGACAGACAGAATATTTAAACAAAGACAGGCCACTAACAGGCATAATGAAATTGTTGTCGGTCATTTCTATTTGTATTTATGTAAATGAAACACAAACAAAACATTTCTACTGGACAAAGACAAGAAATTTCACGAATGCTATAATTTTGTTTATGTTATAATTTTAACAAAAATAAGTAATTTGTGACAATTTTGAGAAATATAAAAATTAATAAAATTTCACTGATTAAGATCTTATCCTAATGAGAATAATAATTTCATTGACAACAGTTTAAATACATCAATTATTGAAAAACGATACACAAGAAATATAAAGATGATGATTCGTAATGAAAAAAGCAACATGTGTATGGTTTATATGATTTATAACAGTTAAAGTATAGTGTATTTAGATTCATTGACTTCACTAATGTAATAAATATAATATAAAATAAATCATCAAATCTCTTACATCTGTAAAAACAGATTTGAGCTGAATAATTATAGTAAAATAGTTTGAATCAACAATAAATAAAGATAAAAATGACCATTTTAGAGTTTAGAGGTCTAATAATTAGGGCAGTGTTATGCCATATTACAATCATAGGAGATTACATTTGTATTATATTAATTAATTATTAGTATTTATTAATAATTAATTAATGCCATAAAAAATTATAATTGCCAAAACTAACAATATAGTTAGTTTATAATATAAGAGTGAAACATCTATTTTATTCATATTACTAGGGGCTCAGAAAAAAAGGAAAATATTTTATGAATCGTAATATGTATACAATTCGATTTAAGAGGCTTAATAATTTTTTTTTTTTTTTAGCTCTGAAGTAAAATATGTTGCTTATAATATTTTTCATACAATCATGACCATTTACTTATTATTAATGTATTTATATTTTTTTCATTTTTTGAACTAGTGCTAATTTATAAAATATAACAGGTTTATCACAAAAAAAAACTAAGTATTAGTATTACAGTCCGTATATTTTATTTATTGCTATTTTCAAAATTCTGTTTAAAAAATAAAGTTCTTGATATAATGTAATGTACACCTTTATTGGAAGTGAGTAAAAAGGATTTAATAAATTAATGTTGAACAATTAAAAGGCAAGCTAATCTAATTCTACTAGTGCAGGGAAAAGAAAATGGCTGCTCTGTAGTTTCCCTAGAAAGGAAAATCTCAAAGAGGAGAGGGACAAAGCTTTTTGTTTTGGCAGGCAGTTTTTGTGTGGCTGTAGCAAAGAGAGGATAGGAGAAGTGATCCTGGCTCCAGTGGCTAAAATCCAGTAATAGTATTACCACCTTGGAAGTTGTTGTTTGGCAAAAACCAGTTGTTTGGAATTACAAGAGAGAGGATCTCCCAGAGAGCTTAAGTTGAATAGAAGAAAGTGTCACCATTTTGGAAAGTGTGTTTGGCAGAACTTTGGAAAGTGTTGGGGAAAAAATGAGTTCAGTGCCACAAAGGAAGAAACATATAATATAGAAAAAGGTTAGCTTGCCAATCCATATTTGACTTTATTTTAAAATCAAACATTGTTTAGTATAGTTAATTTTAGTTTGTCTGAGTATTTTGATCTGATTGTTAGTAATCCACACCTGAGATAAATAAATATATTATTACTCTTATAATTGTATTTATTATTTAATAACCTCTTATTTATTTAGGAAATATCCCAATGGTAGAAAGTGATTGTCCCAGATTATATTACTATTATTATTATTTGTAAAATATAAGAGAGATGTTACAATAAATATATTATTTTGGAATTTAAAGAAATAATTAGTCATTAATAAAAAAAATATTAATAAAGTTAACTAGCTGAATGAATGTAAGATTTGTATACCTATATTTTAATTAAAATCACATTTATATGATGGAATTAAGCATTATCTAAAATGAATGCCTACACTGTAATATACAGGCTATCCCGTAAGTAGAGGGAAATTTTAATAGGAGTGATAGCAGACTTCAAGAGTTACAGAAAAGTTCATATAAACAATTTTCAGCAGAAAAGTAGAAAATCCAAGTTTTGTATTTTTTGTTGAATAGGATGTGATAACGAAAGGAATATTTAATATATGTAATTAACAATTGCTTCTCTGTAAATTAGACAAAATTCAATTAAAATGGAGATAGAATTTGGCATTGTTAAAATCATTTAAAGAGGACTTTTGAGTGACTAAACTAAGTAAGTTCTGTTTTTAAAAAAATCATAAATTATTGGCAATATTTTTTATCATCATCCAACTATATTACAGA